TTGTCTGTTTTATTGTATGTATTTTTATTGGTCAATGACTGAAATAAATATGATGATGATGCAACTTGCATAACAGAGGTGTTATATGGGTCCCCCTGGGGGCATTCAGAACTGCCCGTGCCACTGCATTCTGCACCAGCTGTAGCTTCCGGATACTCTTCAAGGGTAGCCTTGTTAGTTAGTTTGTTAAGTAATATTAATTATTTAAGTTTGTTAAGCAATATTACAATATAGAGATCCCAAGGATTGTCTTCTATCTACTAAGTGTAAAGTACTTGAGGGCTTTTAATTGGACTTAGAATGTATACTCAAAGCATGTTCTGGGCCTAGAACTGGACATTCAGCCATGAAACTTTCGGGCTGGCTAGAAGTCAGTGACTGGGTTCAAACATTCTGCTAAGCCATAGTGTTGTTTGTTCGAATCTGGATTATTGCCTAAATCCAGCTATTGTAATTTGCAATCTATGACTTAATGTTGGTGTGGATAACATTTTGGTGTCAAATGGCCAAGTTTTTGAGGAACTAAGGATCACAAAATGGATGGAGCCAGATCATGGGTGGAGTTTAGAAGAGGGGTTCTGCTTTTTAAATGTGAGATGCCTATTTCTAATCTGAAACTGATGGGAATGTATGCCCAGTTTTCAGCAAATATGATCTGACGGGACTCCAAGGGCTGCAGAATGAAGACTGCACTGAAGCTCTGATGCCAGACATTGATCTGCTTGGCCTAGCTTGGTATGTGAATTGTGAATTGTTTAACAAATCATGCTTGGCATGGTGTGTGAATTCAGTCAGACTTTCCCTCTTTTGCCTATCCTATCTTTCATGGCTGCTGTCAGGATCAAAAGGAGGAAGGTCTAATTGTGTGTCCTGCCATCTACATCCAGGAGGAAAAATGGCATTTTGAAAAGTTCTACAAGTAAAATGTAACAGTACATCTGTATTGAGAGACAGGTTGCTATTGCCAACTATTCATATCTGCTTTTCATTCCAAAAGGAAAAATGGGAAAAGAAAAGAAATGAATATAATGAAAACAAACACACTTCAAGTGATGTTTAAGATAGTAGTGGTAATAAACCAGAAAAAAACATCTGAGTAAACCAAGGGACACTCTCCAGTTCCAGAGCATCACTTGAAAAAGTAAACGTGGCCACAATCCCGTGAATTTTTCTGTGGAAGTAATCTCACTGATTTGTGAGACTCCTATCTAAAGGCATGTAGAACTGAACCAGGCAGGTAATGCCAGATTGGAGGCATAACTCAAATAGTTGAACAGATTCCACTGCATTCTTAAGTCTTGCTGGGAAGCTCGCACAGTGGGAACCAGAAATTTCTGGCAGGAGCTTGTTTGGAGTTTAGCTGCCACTTTCGAGGATATTAAAGGGTGCCTAAGGAGGTGAGGCTGCTGGAGTATGAGCATGTGCTATCTTTTAAACAGCTACAGCCAAGACTTCAAAAGTGCCAAATGTAATTTTTAAAAAAATCAGCCCTGTCCTTCTAGGGATGAGAAGGTCAAATATATTCCTTGATACATTAAAACTGTATTGGTGAGGAATTTTGGAAGAGAGAGGAAAGGAAGGGGTAAAATAGCCAGTCTTGCATTTAAAAAAAAAATCCAGCTGGGGGAAGAAAGAAGCTGCTTTGTTTGCTCATTCTGAGAGTTTGGCTGTACTTTGGGAGATGGCTTTGCATATCTGGGACCACTCAGCAGCTTGTCTGCACCAGCCAAGACCAGTTCCAGCAATATGCTGAGCTAAGAGTGGACAGAAATTCCCTTAGCCAGAGGGTTGTCCTGCCTTTTTGAATTGCTACAGCTACAACTTTCACTGGGAAAAGATGGGGAAGTGATATCTGCTTATTTGTTCCCTTTCCTGTTATTTTAATGTTTTGTCGCTTCACTGTCTCAAGTTATTTACAGAAATAGCCTTATGATGAAGCAGAAATCAACTCAGTGGTTGAGTGCATATTTTGCACATAGAAGCTATGATTTCTGGTGTTTCAGTTAATTTGTTGCTTTGAACAAAGGAAGCCAGAGCTTTCCTCAGACAAAACTAGATGAGTTTTTGATCATGGAATCAGATTGGGGAAGGTCTCTTCAGGATATTTAATGCTCTTAAGAGGTTCTTTGGTACATTTTGACCTGTACAGCCATACTATTCAAAATATCCAGCTCATGGTTGTCCTGTCTTTACACACGTTCAGACTGGGAGAAGAAAGGCCAAAGGAAAGCCATGCCTAATCAGGCCAAAACCATATCTGTTTCTTTATATGGCTTCCCACGGTGAACAGCCAGATGCTTTTGGGAGTGTCTTATAAGGAGGGCATGAAGGTGCCCTCCCCTCAAAAGCCAGTAACTAGCATACTGCCCTCATACCTGAGGGACCGCTTATCTCCACTTGTTTCTGCCTGTCCAGTGTGATCAAGTAGGATGAGTGCCCTCTGAGTCCTATCTATTAAACAATGTAATCTTGTAGGTCCTAAGAGGCACAGTGTCTGCTGTAAGGAATAGAAATTACCTTTTAACAAAACTTTCTGGATTTAACACTTAACAAGGCTTTCTGATACTTAATAGTTAACGTGGTTACGCTTGGAATTTGAACGTCTTTACAAAAAGGAAGGGGTCACACCAAGGCGAGAGCTGGGAATGAAAGATAATGAAACAAGTGTTGCCTTTTGTTAGTAAGAATGTGTGAATCAGGGAAGGAAGGAAAATAACAACACAAAGGACAGAGATTTAGTGGAGACAGGATGGTCCTGGGCCTTGGCAGTTATCTCAAGGAAATTATAAAATGTGAACAAGAAAAGGGGGTCTGGGGATCATAAAAGAAATAATGTATTGCTTTCGGCGTCTCGGATAGGTGGTGAACTGGGATTTGCCCCCCCAGGACAAAAACGAGGCAGGACCAACGCGACGTGTGAAGGGATGCATAAAAACCTTACTGAAATCTCTAATGGCGTGCTTCTTACAGCCTGCGAGTTGAGAAGCATCGGTCTTTGCAAAAGCTTGGAAAGAAACTTTGCCTTTCCAAATCCTAGAAGGATTATTTGTTTAGCTTTGATTCTCACAACTGGGGGCTCGTCCGGGATCCTGAAGAGGAGTTCGGTAAGTCCGGGGCTGCAAGCCCTCTCTTGGGGGGCGCCCTACTGATTTCAGGAGCCGAAGGGAAGCTGTAACTTTCGGATCCCGTTGCCCGTTAAAGGACCGGATTGGAAATGGTGGTTCGGGAGGGCAAGCTGACCAGGGTGAATTCCTGACCGGCATTTTTCCCACCAAAACCGGCCGAGACCTGAACATCGTGCACGAAACCAGGTA